AAATAGAATATATCTATATCATGAAATGATTATTTTTTAAAACATAGGACGTAACAATTAAAAGTCTTCATATATATATATATATATTGAAAAAATATGTATGTCTAATTGTTAAATCTGCTTAATGATGAATGTGTAAATAAGCTGAGCTCAGGCTCGGGCTCACTCGAGCCGAGCTCGACACGTTTATCAACGATTCAACATCAACAAACTGAGCTCGAGTCTTAACGGTTCTAGATGCGCTCATAATAGTTAACTAACCGAGCTCGAAAAAAAAAGGAGTGAAATAAAAATATAAGTTATATTATCATTAAAGTAAAAAAATAATTAAATTTATTTTTATATTAAACAATATTTATTTATTATTTTGATACTAGTGCGGCATACAAAACCTTCGCTCCTCGCCACCGAAGAACCTCCATCTCCGCCCTTTTCCACCTCTGCTTCCTGCCCTCTCCGCCCCTCGCAACCTCCGTCCGGATCCATCCCCGCTCGTTGCTACCGCCGCCTCCGCCCTGAGCCCCTCGAATTGTTCTAGGACCCAAAACTTAGGGTTTGCGATTCCACATCTGTTTGAGTCCACCAGAGGAAAGCGGTGGGTCCACCAGCTCGAATCCACCTCTGCAATCCGGAAGCTCGTCAAGCAGCAACCCGGAAGCTCATCGAGACGGTAATTTTAGCTATTTCCTGATGAGATCTATTTCATGTCGCCATTTTTAGTTTGTTCTTTTTGGATTCGTATGATTTTCCCTTTTGTGGATTCTCGATGTTTCCCACTGTATAATCTGCCTCCTTTTTTTTTTGTCTGTTTTGAAGTGTTTCGCTATGGAAGGATGAAGTTTGAAAGTTGATTCTTGAAAGGTCGACAACAGGTCAGTGATGTCTCCGTCAATCCTTTTTTAGTGTAATCTTGTTTTTCATCTATCTTTTTTCTTTTTTCACTTGGATGAATTGAATTTAGTGGAAGCAATGTTGTTAGAATAAATGAGCTGAGAAAAATGTTAGTCCTTGGCTCAAACAGAAGAACCTCATGTCCTGCTCCTCTTACTGCAAATATTAGTCCTTCATATATCTCAGTTCTTCCTCCAACCTATAGTATATATTATGGTTATATTGAGCTACCACTCATTATATATGTATATGTGTGCGTGTGTGCGAGTGCGTCTGCTGGTTTGTGTAAATATCTTTACCTGGTATAAGATATTTTGTGTTCTATGTCTTTCCATTATTCTTGATTTGGTAGTTGGTGTTTGAGATTAGTCTTGTACCCTTTTGTTTGGCATGTCCATTGTTGAAAAACAAGTCATAAGCTCTGCAATGATGTAATAGAATCAAATTTGGAACTCTTCTGCAATAGGAGTGAAGTAGCTTCTGGAACATATCAAAATGAAAATGTGATTATTTTGATATTATGATTTGTGATTATTTTAGTGTGATTTTGTTCATTCATGATGATCCGTCGACTTGTCTTGGTTTATGACTAATTTGATAATGATATTCTGATGCTACACTCATTTGTTTATCTCAAGTATCTTTGTTCATTTGTTTATCTCAAGTAGAGTTCAGTGTCTTATTTGACATCTAAATCATGTATGAGGGCAAGCCAGAACCACCGATAGTAATGATATTAATTATCCATGTTGATGGTCATCGCATCTAATAAGATTCAATAAGTTGAAAAAGCATGTACATATAGCAATTCATGAAACGATGATGACTGCATGGACATATTATGGATAGGTATAGTTCAACTGATCAGATTAAATTCTGCATCCAACGAAAGCAACCGTTCAAACTAGAAAACGTAACTTTTTTTAGGTGTCGTGGAGGATGCTAGAGAGCTAATTAAGAAACTTTTTTAACGTTTAATTTTAGGAGAACTATAATTAGGGCAACTCGTGCCAATTATTGATCATTAAGGATCCACTTACTATATATTGCTTTCATTTTTGTTTTATTAATTTTAAATGTGTGGAGGGTCCATCTTTCGTATTGACATATATATACCATCATAGTCAACTCCATTTGATTAGCCGTTAAATATATCCTCACATTGCTAGCTAGCTTGAGATAATGATTTAAGTACACCCCACTCTTTGGCAGGAAAGCACTAGAATCACTTAATCGTGCTCCCATTCTCCTATCTAACGGCTTATGTTTTCTTATTTGTTTGTGTGTATGTTTTTTCTATTCTATTTGCAAAATCATCCCACTCTTTTGGTAGTTGTTATTTCTTTTGTAATGTCTATACGTCTTATGTTTAATTCCAAATTATTGAATCTTTATTTTTTAGTAGAATATAGTAGCACAAATTAAATATGTAGAATTATGTTGCTAAAATATGTCTGTGTGGCATGAATTGGGTGTATAGATTCTTTGAATTTTTCATCTCCATTTCTTTCTCTACTATTTTCCCCTTTTTGCTTATGTAATGTCTTTAATTTGATTCGAAGAAAATTAATTAAACTTTCACAAAATTTATAATATTTATTTATTTTTTATTATATTGTTCTTCATTTCCTTTCATTATTAGTAGCAATGAAAATATTTCATAAGTAGAAAAATACTATTGGAGCCATGTTTTGATTAGGAAGGAAGAAAAAGAGATTAGTCATATGATATATAATGTGACATCCTTGTCATTGACAATATAAATGATCTGAGTTTTAAACAATTTTCACTAACCGGAAGAGTTTGAAAAGTTTAATTTGTGTGAAAGATGACTTGCCACAACATCAAACAAAAAATGTTCCGTACAAGAAAGCGTTCAATAATATATGATTTTTTAGCTTTGTATGTTTTTTTATTGCAATACTAAGATATTTAATTGAAAATTATATGTAATATAACTTTTAACAAAAATTTGATACAACTTTTGCGGAAAGATGGTGTAACTATATATATATATATATATATATATATATAAATAAAGGTTGTATTTACTTGAAATAGAAGCTAAAATCCCGCCTAAAAATTTTAAAATTAATAAACTTGGTAATTTTTTCTTTTAAAAAATTTAAAAAAAATCATGCCTCTAGAAATTAATTAATCAATTTATGTAATTGATATAAAGTGAACGATTTTATTTGAGGTATCTAATGAGCATTCTTATTTTTGGTGGGGAATGTGTTGTTATTAATAAATGTCTGAATTTATGGATGGTATAAAGTGGTCGATTTTAATTTGGTATGAAATGCCCGAATTCAAATAATGTGAATTTTATTTGGTATGGATAGAAATGTACTTAGAAATTGTTGAAACAAAATAAGTGATATGATCTTTATTTGATATAGATATGAAAGTCGAATTTTAGGTTGATTTGTAATAAAATCAAGATGCTATGATGCTCAAATTTTAACATATTCTCATAATTACTTGCCATAAGATATTGATGACAATTCGACAAATTGGTATGCATGCGTCTTGAAATTCAAAAGATCTTAGAACAAATATTGGTTAATAAAATTTAAAATTTGTATTTTATTTCTAGAGATTTAGTTGATAAATTTGAATGATAAGACAACCGAAAACAAATTTAGAAAATTGCGAGATAATATATATATATATATATGTAGTTGAAATATATAAGAGAATTTATTTTGTAATTTAAATTTGGGTTTCAAATTTAAATGTTAAATAAGTAATTATTCATAATTTACGGATCATTATTAACTTGGACGTTAATGGAATATATAATTATATATAAATAATTTGTTATTCAACTACTTAATTTTTTTGATTTGGATTGTTTATAAAAAATAAATTCATTTTAATTAATAAACAAAAATAAGTTTTATAATTACACTTATTATTCACTTTTTAAATATATGATAAAATTTTACCAATATAATTATTAAATTTATAAATAATAATGAATATCTTTTACCCGTGCATCGCACGGGATTCATACTAGTTTAAATAAGAGAAAAATTGCATTTTCCAACCATACGGCTCCACATGCCCCCAACCTGTTCGACACAAGGTCTCCATGAAATGCTGAACCAATTCAACATACTCTATAATCTCTCTCTCTCTCTCTCGCTCGCTCGCTTGCTAGGTTCGTTCTCATTCTGAGCTTTGTTGCTGTGTTTTCACGAAAGGATCAAACAGATGTGGCGGCGCGTGGGTTCTCTGTCTTTGTTGGTTGCGTCCTCCAAATCGCACCACCTTAATCGAGTATGCTACTGGTTTTGATTTTTCGGCTTACTTTCATACTTCCCATGAGATTTTTCACGGATGAATCGAGTGTTCTTCTCTCATCAGGTACAGACAGCCTGTGGATTTAACGCTTTGCAAATGTTCAGCACTCAAGTTTTGGATCAGGTATCGAGTCAATGTGTTCTTTTAATTTCTTTTTTTTTTTAAATTGAAATCATAGTAAATTATGGTAAGATTCTTAGTCTATCTTCTCTCATCAGGTACAGACAGCCTGTGGATTTAACGCTTTGCAAATGTTCAGCACTCAAGTTTTGGATCAGGTATCGAGTCAATGTGTTCTTTTAATTGGAATCATAGTAAATTATGGTAGGATTCTTAGTCTATCTTAGTTCTTTCGCGGCAGTTGTCATGATCATTACATGAAAAGAGTGTTGCCTTCTCAGCATTGATTTCTGGTGCTTTCAAATTTTGGAGGAAATGAACTCATAATCACTTTTTCTTTGTTATTTCCTAATGGCTTCCTCAATCAAATTAATATTAACTAGTACAATACTCGTGTACTACACGGGTACACGGGTACTTGGTAAGAATTATATTTAAAATTAAAAAATATAACAACAAAATTTGTTTTAATTTTTAAATACATTTTAAAAAATATATTATTATGTATAGTTAAGATGACATAGTCACTTACACGTCTTATCATCTTATGTTATATATTTTTTTTAATTTATATCAGATAACTGCTATGTAGTTAAGTTAGTTTAAATAATTTTTTTTTTTGGAATTAATATTAATAGGCAATTCAATTTCAATGATAATGATAAATAAAATTATTTATTAATTTTTTATGTATAAAGTAGATGTCAAATCGAAGCTCATAAGGACACGATTAATTTGATATATTATATATATATATAAATATTTAATAAATAAAAAAATTATTAACTTTTAAATATATTTATAATTTAGTTAGTAAATTTGTTATAATTTTAAAAGAAAGATTGGGGAAAAAATTATACCATATAAACCATGTCTATGATAGGAAATGATATTAAAACATAATTAATGCACTTAAAAATGACCATAAATATTCAGTATATTTATGGATATTCCTAACCTAGTTAATTTTAGATTAAAAAGAAATTAAAATTCTTCCAAGCCAAACACCAAAGCTTCAAAATTTGCCAAATAGGATCCCGAAGCGTGCGAACCTGCCACTTAGGCTCAACACATTCCAGAACTATATATAGGGGGGTTCTGTTAAAACGTTTATGTGCTATTAGCTTGATAACCTGCTATGCTGAAGTGCTTTCAATTGTGATCTTCTTGCTTGTATTGTGATTGCTAGTAGTTGTTAATGCTTTTGATATTAATGTGAGGCATAGGATTTGGTCTATGCAAATTGAAAATGTCTGGTTTATCTATGTCGTTTGATTCTGGACATGAGTAAATTTCTAAAGCATTTGACATCCATCATTGCTAATTATAATCGCAATTTGTTTTCCTTTTCGCAAGAAATGTTACTTCAATTCAACAAGTCAGATTTTTTCTTTCTTGCAATATGATGATTTGTATATTAATGTTGTGCATTTTCTTTGATGGACCAGGCGGAAAGCAAAATTTCTGATAGAAGAAGGATCCCATTTGTGACTTTTGTTTTGGGTAATTAACGTTCAGTTCAGTTTAGTTAAGTTGCTTACATCTTCTAGTTGAGGAATGAGGTCGTAAGATGCTATTATTGTATGTAGAAGTGTTTGTAGTGTTATTTGCTGACATCTGAATTGTTATGTTTTATTTTGCCAAGTATTTGAAAAGCATGAAATGGTGTGAAATTGGTTAACTGGATTAGATAATCGCTTGTAGGCATAGCTGTGGCCGTCTCTGTCATCTCAATGTTATTAACCTCGTAAAGTGAACCATGCAGAGTTGTAGAAAATTGAAAATTTATTATTTCTTTGGATCTATTGGGGTGCTTCGAGATTATGGAACTAGCTTATTCAGGAGTCTAATTTACCAATGAAATTATAGAGGACTGATTTTGATTTGATGCTTATAGGGGGTCCTGGGAGCGGAAAAGGAACTCAATGTATGCGGATTGTTGATACTTTTGGGTTTACCCATTTAAGTGCTGGAGACCTGTTGAGAAAAGAAATTTCTTCTAACAGTGAAAATGGGTAAGAATATGCATCCCTTCTGACATGGGCCTTTTGTTTGATATCCCTCCTTTGTTTATGGCATGAATGGTGATCATAAACTGCGACAGTTCCATGATTTTCAATACAATCAAAGAAGGGAAAATTGTTCCATCAGAAGTGACTGTTCAACTAATTCAAAAGGCCATGGAAGCCAGCGATAATGATAAATTTCTTATTGATGGTTTCCCAAGAACTGAAGAGAATCGTATAGCATATGAACGAGTTGTGAGTTTTTTTCTTTTTCTTTTTTTTTTTCTTTCTCATTGAATTTGTCAATTTCCTTATTCCTTTTAAGAACAATATGTTTTTAGTAATTTGTCCTATCATTTCCTTTCATACTGGTTATCTGTGTTTGGATGGTTGCTATATGATCAATTGAAAATGTTCATTATGCAATTTGCTTAAATATTAAGTGATAGACTATATAACTGCAGATTGGTGCTGAACCAGACATTGTGCTCTTTTTCGATTGTCCTGAAGAAGAAATGGTGAAACGAGTATTAAACCGTAATCAGGTGCTTTATATATCTATATCTCTTGCACTTAGTCGTTCTTCTCTTCACCCAAAATCTAAAGAATAGTGATTTCTTGCTTAGGGACGAATTGATGATAATATAGATACTGTCAAGGAAAGGCTGAAGGTCTTCGCGGAACTAAACCTTCCAGTCATCAAGCACTACTCCAAGATTGGAAAACTTTGTAAGGTATGGTTGAATTGTATCACTCCAACAATAAGTATTCCTTTTAAGACATAAATAACCTGACAATTGTTTTTGGTTTCTAATTGAAGAACTGAAATTTTCACTTTTGGTCATGAAAGGAAAGCACTAACTTGTATATTTCTTTCTTTTTCTTCCTAATCGATATGGTTGATTCATTTGTTCATCTACTTTATAATGAATTATAAATCTATATCCTTGCAGATTGACGGTACTGGATCACAAGATGAAATTTTTGAGAGGGTTCGCCCAATTTTTGCAGCATTGAGGTATCAAGTTTTGTTCCATGCTCTCCCCTTTTACATTTCATGGTTAAATGGACACTTCCAATCAGTTGTGACAGTCATAGAAGTGTGTTAGATCATCTCATGGCATTGGATGAATAGAAATTTTGTTAATCTCCTTTGAAATACCAGTTCCATAATATTCGTGAAATATATTTGTTAATTTCAGGAAATACTGAGAAACAATTAGCTTGGATGCAGGATTAGTATAATACACTTCTATACTCCTTACTTCTATATCATCATGTTCTGATCGCGTCAATTTTTTTCGGCTAATAATTCTTTGCTTTATATTCGGTGCTTTCACACGCTTTTTTCTAGGAAATCTAGTTTTCCACATTTTCAGTAATCTTTCTTGCTACATCGTGGTTGAATACTTGAATTTGTCTGTTTACTTTGTATCTGATGTTATAGCAACCATGGGGATGTCCTATAGACCGGCCAAATTCACATAAGTTAGATATTTTTATCATGATGCATCGTAAAGCACTTGGACTTACAGGCCATTGTGTTGTGAGATATTAGTAGACATAAAAAATGAAGTGAAGTACTAGTCAATTGTTATTTAAATTGATGTAGAAGATGCAAAATGCAATCATTTGTAGTTGAATAATCATTTCATTTGTGATTGAGTGAGCTGTGAGCTTAGCTTGCTTGTGGAATGCAAATCGTGAATAACTTAAAACCTTAATCATTTCTCATTGTACCGTTCACAGTCCTTCAAAGCACCTTCAGTGTTCCTCATCCAAAGTTCTCTTGTTTGGTGAACTAATGAATATGTTTTCCCACACCATTAGTTTTTTCTAATTTTTCAAACGTCCAATCAGCAGACAATAAATTTGTTGGGTTGACTACGGTTTCATGTGGCAAGTAAATATTTTACTATATCCTCAGACCTTGATTACATGTACATTTAGCTTATCATGTGACCCATGTATCAATATTGGTTTAATTTGCTTTGTCTGAATTCTTAATGTTGTGTCTACGCTTTTGGTGTTTACTCCTAATTATATTTTTTTCCCCTCACGTATTAAAACTAGCACCTGCTGCTCTCGAATTATTTAGAAGTTAGAACTGTGACCATTAGTTTTTTGTGACTGATTTGGATTTACATTAGCAATTTACTTTATTACATTTATTCATGTGATTTGGTGAATACCTGGTACATATAATGATACCCTTCACTGGGAGGTGATCTTATGATAGGATGAGACTTGTTAGCTCGGGTACTATGTTGAACTTCCTAAAGATCCTTTTATGTGCTATTATGCATTTCTTACATTTTCCTTCTTTTGTTTTTCAGCCTCTTTTTCCCTAAACAAACGGTTGGTGATACAGAAACCGGAAATCTGGTGACCAAGTGAAGACTCGCAGGCCTCCATCAAAGCCCTGTTATCCTTGTTCGCCATTAGTTGATCAAGTTGCAATGTTAACTTTAAATGGTACTTGTACATAATGCAATAGAGAACTGAGCCTGGATTTTTTCACCAAGCAGACGAGAACTAATCATTTGTCTCAATGTTATGCCAATGCATGACAAATCATCCAAAGAAGAAAATATTTCTCCTCTTTCTGTATACAATCTTTTTAACGGGTACCGTCATGATTACACTAAGATTGAGCATTCTTCCGCAATTTTGTTCGAAAATAAATTTTATATTTTGTTATCTTAAGTTATATTTGATACTTCTCCCTACGCAATAGAGAATGACATTAATCAACTAACAACAAAGAGAATGAAATTAATCAACAAACATTTTAGCATCCAAATGCTTCTAATAAGAATAAACATAGGCAATTGATAAAATGTGATTATTCTCATCCAAAAATGCATGAATTCCAGCAGTAACGGAGAACCTATAAGACAATAAATATGGTATTTGATATATTGCACGACCATTTTGAATTCATCCTCCAGCAGAACTTCATATATATATATGTATAAAAGGAAACACGTTTACGGCATTAGTTTTTAAATAATTGAAATAATAAACCGATAAAAATCACAAATACAATAAACTATCAGACAAATCAAGGGTCCATTGGGTTGAATATTGAAGAATTTGGCCCAAATACTTACTCTACATAATTAATGGTTGGGCCGAAAAGAGGGGGGAAAAAAAAAGCCGAAATTGCGGCCTTGGTGTTCGGTGAGTTCATTTGTCATCAATTTACAAATTGCATCTCCACATCTCAAACCAGCGTCAGTTTTCAAAAAAATTCTAATATATCATCAAATGTTAACAATAGGAGTCGCCCATCTCAAAGAAGTGAGCTCGGATAACAAGTAGCAGATAATTGGATTCGGTTATATCTCGGGTTTTATCCATATTTTTGTCGCTTGGATTATTTAAAAACTTTCGATCGGATATTCCGGTTTGATGCGGTCGTTTTGGATGCACTGGGCCCCTAGCTTTTTAAGAAGTCGGACCGGCGCGTGGGTTCAGGCCCGATTCGGCATATCTAATTTAAGTAAGAGAAAAATTTCATTTTCTAACCATACTGACTGACTGACAGCTCCACATGGCTCGCAACCTATTCGACACAAGGTCTCCATGAAATGCTGAACCAATTCTTCATACTCTGTAATCTCTCTCTCTCTCTCTCTCTCTCTCTTTCTCTCTCAGTTGCTTGCTCGCTTCGTTCTCATTTTGAGCTTTGTTGCTGTGTTTTCGTGAAAGGATCAAACAGATGTGGCGGAGCGTGGGTGCTCTGTCTTTGCTAGTTGCGTCCTCCAAATCGCACCACCTTAATCGAGTATGTTACTGGTTTTGATTTCTGGCTTACTTTCATACTTCCGATGAGATTTTTCACGGACGAATCGTGTGTTCAACTTTCATCAGGTGCTGACAACCTGTGGATTTAACGCTTTGCAAATGTTCAACACTCAAGTTCTGGATCAGGTATCAAGTCTATGTGTTCTTTTAATTTCTTTTTCTTTTAATTGGAAATCATAGTAAATTATGATAGGATTCGTAGTCTATCTTAATTATTCGCGGTAGTTGTCATGATCATTATTACATGAAAGGTTACATAAATTCAACAAATCAGATTTTTTCTTTCTTGCAATATGATGTTTTGTATATTAATGTTGTGCATTTTCTTTGATGGACTAGACGGAATGTGAAATTTTTTATAGAAGAAGGATCTCATTTGTCACTTTTGTCTTGGGTAATTAACGTTCAATTAAGCTGCTTACATCTTCTAGTTGAAGAATGAGGTCGTAAGATGCTATGCTATTATTGTATGCAGAAGTGTTTGTAGTGTTATATGCTGACATCTGGATTGTTATGTTTATTTTTCCAAGTATTTGAAAAGCATGAAATGGTGTGAACTTGGTTAAATGGATTAGATAATCGCTTGTAGGCATAGCTGTGGCCGTCTCTGTCATCTTAACGTTATTAACCTCGTAAAGTGAACTATATGGAGTTGTAGAAAACTGAAAATGAGAGTTTGTTTCTATTATTTCTTTGGATCTATCGGGTTGCTTCGAGATTATGGAACTAGCTTATTCAGGAGTAATATACCAATGAAATTATAGAGGACTAATTTTGATTTGATGCTTATAGGGGGTCCTGGGAGCGGAAAAGGAACTCAATGTATGCGGATTGTTGATACTTTTGGGTTTACCCATTTAAGTGCTAGAGACTTGTTGAGAAAAGAAATTTCTTCTAACAGTGAAAATGGGTAAGAATATGCATCCCTTCTGACATGGGCCCTTTGTTTGATATCCCTCCTATGTTTATGGCAAGTAAGGAAGAAAAAGAGATTAGTCATATGAATATACTTCTATACTCCTTACTTCAGGAAATACTGAAAAACAATTAGCTTGAATGCAGGATTAGTATAATACACTTCTATACTCCTTACTTCTATATCATCAGAACAGACCGCGTTAATTTTTTTCGGCTAATAATTCTTTGCTTCATATTCGGTGCTTTCACATGATTTTTTCTAGGAAATCTAGTTTTCCACATCTTCAGTAATCTTTCTTGCTGCATCGTGGTTGAATACTTGAATTTCTCTTTTTACTTTGTATCTGTTGTCATAGCAATTTAAACCATGAAGATGTTCTATAGACCGGCCAAATTCACATAAGTTAGATTTTTTTATCATGATGTATCGTAAAGCACTTGGACTTACAATCCATTGTGTTATGTGATATTAGTAGACATCACAAATGAAGTGAAGTACTACTCAATTGTTATTTAAATTGATGTAGAAGATGCAAAATGCAATCATTTATAGTTGAATAATCAGTTCATTTGTGATTGAGTGAGCTGTGAGCTTAGCTTGCTTGTGGAATGCAAATCGTGAATAACCTAAAACCTTAATCATTTATCATTGTACGTTCACGGTCCTTCAAAGCACCTTCACTGTTCCTCATCCAAAGTTCTCTTGTTTGGTGAACTAATGAATATGTTTTCCCGTACCATTATTTTTTTCTAATTTTTAAAGACTCCAATCAACAGACAATAAATTTGTGGGGTTGACTACGGTTTCATGTGGCAAGTAAATATTCTACTATATCCTCATACCTCGGTTATATGTATGTTGAGCTTATCATGTGACCTATGTATCAATGTTGGTTTAATTTGCCTTGTCTGAATTCTTAATGATATGTCTGCGCATGTGGTGTTTACTCCTAATCATATACTTTTCCCCTTATGTATTAGAACTAGCACCTGCTCCTCTTGAATTATTTATAAGTTAGAACTGTGACCATTAGTTTCTTACATTTGCAATTTACTTTCTTACATTTATTCATGTGATTTGGCGAATGCTTGATACATATAATGATGCCCTTCACTGGGAGGTGATCTTATGAAAGGGCGAGACTTGTTAGCTCGGGTACTATGTTGAACTTCCTAAAGATCCTCTTCTGTGCTATTATGCATTTCTTAAATTTTTCTTCTTTTGTTTTTCAGTCTATTTTTCCCTAAAAAAATGGTTGGAGATACAGAAACCGGAAATCTGGTGACTAAGTGAAGACTCTCCAGCCTCCATCAAAGCCCTGTTATCCTTGTTCGCCATTAGCTGATCAAGTTGCGATGCTAGCTTTAAATGGTACTTGTACATAACGCAATAAAACTGAAGAGAACCGAGCCTGGATTTTTTCACCAAACAGACGAGAACGAATCATTTGTCTCAATGTTATGCCAATGCATGACAAATCATCCAAAGAAGAAAATATTTCTACTCTTTCCGTATACAATCTCTTTAATGGGTACCGTCATGATGATACTATGATTGAGCATTCTTCCGCAATTGTGTTCGAAAATAAATTTTATAAACTGTTATCTTAAGCTCTTTTTGATACTCTTCCCTACGCAATAGAGAATGACATTAATCAACTAACAACAAAGAGAATGACATTAATCAACTAACATTTTAGCATCCAAATGCTTCTAATAAGAATAAACATAGGTAATTGATAAAATGTGATTATTCTCATCACAAAAATGCATGATTTCCAGCAACAATTGAGAACTTATAAGACAATAAATATAGTATTTGATATATTGCACGACCATTTTGAATTCATCCTCCAGCAGAACTTCACATATATATGTAGAAAATAAAAGAAAACATGTTTACGCCATTAGTTTTGAAATAATCGAAATAATAAAACCGATAAAAATCACAAATAAAAAAATACTATCAGACATATCAAAGGACCATTGGGCTGAATATTGAAGAATTTGGCCCAAATACGTACTCTACATAATTAATGGTTGGGCCCAAAAGAGGGTTAAAAAAACCAAATCGCGGCCTTGGTGTTCGGTGAGTTCATTTGTCATCAAGTTACAAATTGCATCTTCACAACTCAACCAGCGTCACCTCTCAAAAAATTCTAATACATCATCAAATGTTAACAATAGGAGTCGCCCATCTCAAAGAAGTGAGCTCGCATAGCAAGTAGCAAATAATTGGATTCGGTTATATCTCGAGTTTTATCCATATTTTTTTTGGTTGAATTATTTGAAAAATTTTGATCGGATATTCCGGTTTGATGCGGTCGGTTTGGATGCACTGGGCCCTAGCTTTTTAAGAAGTTGGACCGGCCCGCGGGTTCAGGCCCGATTCAGCATATCTAATTTAAATAAGAGAAAAATTTCATTTTCAAACCATACTGACTGACAGCTCCACAAGGCTCGCAACCTGTTCGAAACAAGGTCTCCATGAAATGCTGAACCAATTCTTCATACTCCACAATCTCTCTCTCTCTCTCTCTCTCTCTCTCTCTGTCTCTCAGTTGCACATAGCTTCGTTCTCATTTTGAGCTTTATTGATGTGTTTTTGTGAAAGGATCAAACAGATGTGACGGGGCGTGGGTACTCTGTCTTTGTTGGTTGCGTCCTCAAAATTGCACCACCTTAATCTAGTATGTTACTGGTTTTGATTTTTCGGCTTACTTTCATACTTCCGATGAGATTTTTTACGGACAAATCGAGTGTTCTTCTCTCATCAGGTGCAGACAGCCTGTGGATTTAACGCTTTGCAAATGTCATCACTCAAGTTCTGGATCAGGTATCAAGTCAATGTGTTCTTTTAATTTCTTTTTCTTTTAATTGGAATCATAGTAAATTATGACAAGATTCTTAGTCTATCTTAATTCTTTCGCGGTAGTTGTCATGATCATTATTACATGAAAAGAGTGTTGCCTTCTCCGCGTTGATTGCTGGTGCTTTCAAATTTTGGAGGAAATAAACTCATAACTACTTTTTCTTTGTTATTTCCTCATGGCTTCCTCAATCAAATTAATATTAATTTGTTAAAACGTTTATGTGATATTAGCTTGATAACCTGCTATGTTGAAATGCTTTCAATTGTGATCTTCTTGCTTGTGTTGTTATGTTAGTAGTTGTTAATGCTTTTTGCCTAGATATTGGCATGGGATTTGGTCTATTCAAATTAAAAATGTTTGGTATATCTATGTCGTTTGATTCTGAACATGAGTAAATTTTCTACAGCATTTGATATCCATCAATGCTAATTATAATTGCAATTCGTTTTCCTTTTTCCACGAAAGGTTACTTCAATTCAACAAGTCAAATTTTTTCTTTCTTGCAATATGATGATTTGTATATTAATGTTTTGCATTTTGTTAGATGGACCAGACGGAAAGCAAAATTTTTTATAGAAGAAGGATCCCATTTGTCACTTTTGTCTTGGGTAATTAACGTTCAATTAAGCTGCTTACATCTTTTAGTTGAGGAATGAGGTCGTAAGATGCTATTATTGTATGCAGAAGTGTTTGTAGTGTTATTTGCTGACATCTAGATTGTTATGTTTATTTTTCCAAGTATTTGAAAAGCATGAAATGGTGTTAACTTGGTTAACTGGATTAGATAATCGCTTGTAGGCATAGTTGTGGTTGTCTGTGTCATCTTAACGTTATTAACCTCGTAAAGTGAATTATATGGAGTTGTAGAAAATTGAAAATGGTAGTTTGTTTTTATTATTTCTTTGGATCTATTGGGTTGCTTCAAGATTATGGAACTAGCTTATTTAGAAGTAATATACCAATGAAATTACAGAGGACTAATTTTGATTTGATACTTATAGGGGTCCTGGGAGCGGAAAAGGAACTCAATGTATGCGGATTGTTGATACTTTTGGGTTGCTAGAGACCTGTTGAGAAAAGAAATTTTTTCTAATTGTGAAAATGGGTAAGAATATGCATCCTTTCCGACATGGGCCTTTTGTTTGATATTCCTCATATGTTTATGGCATGAATGGTGATCATAAAATGCGAGAGTTCCATGATTCTCAATACAATCAAAGAAGGGAAAATTGTTCCATCAGAAGTGACTGTTCAACTAATTTAAAAGGCCATGGAAGCCCGCGATAATGATAGGTTTCTTATTGATGGTTTCCCAAGAACTGAAGTGAATCGTATAGCATATGAACGAGTTGTGAGTTATTTTCTTCTCATTGAATATGTTGATTAATTTCCTTANTTATTTGCCTTCTGATTGAATTTATCAATTTCCATATTCATTTTAAGAACAATATGTTTTTAGGAATATGTCCCATCATTTCTTTTCATCCTGGTTATCTATGTTTTGATTGTTGCTATATGATCAATTAAAAATGTTCATTATGCAATTTGCTTAAATATTAAGTTATAGACTATATAACTGCAGATTGGTGCTGAACCAGACCTTGTACTCTTTTTTGATTGTCCTGAAGAAGAAATGGTGAAACGAGTATTAAACCGTAATCAGGTGCTTTATATATCTTGCACTTAGTCGTTCTTCTCTTCTGTCCCAAAATCTAAAGAATAGTGATTTCTTGCTTAGGGACAAATTGATGATAATATAGATACAATCAAGGAAAGGCTGAAGGTCTTCGCGGAACTAAACCTTCCAGTTATCAAGCACTACTCCAAGATTGGAAAGCTTTGCATGGTATGGTTGAATTGTGTCACTCCAATAATAAGTACCCCTTTTAAGACATCAATAACCTGACACTTGTTTTTGGTTTCTAATTGAAGAACTGAAATTTTCACTTTTGGTTATGGAAGGAAGGCAATAACTACTTACATTCATGTGTGTATATTTCTTTCTTTTTTCCCGAATCGATAAGGTTGATTCATTTGTCCATCTACTTTCAATTCATTATAAATCTATATCCTTGTAGATTGACGGTACTGGATCAAAAGATGAAATTTTTGAGAGGGTTCGCCCAGGTTTTGCTGCACTGAGGTATCAAGTTTTGTTCCATACTCTCCCCTTTAACATTTCATTGTTAAATGGTTACTTCCAATCAGTTGTGACAGTCATGGAAGTGTGTTAGAACATCTCATGGCATTGGATGAATAGAAATTTTGTTAATCTCCTTTGAAATACCAGTTCCATGGTATTCGTAAAATATATTTGTTAATTTCAGGAAATACTGAGAAACAATTAGCTTGTATGCAGGATTAGTATAATACACTTCTATTACTCCTTACTTCTAAATCATCAGAACAGATCGCGGCAATTCTTTCCGACTAATAATTCATTGCTTCATATTTGGTACTTTCACACGCTTTTTTCTAGGAAATCTAGTTTTCCACATCTTCAGTAATCTTTATTGCTACATCGTGGTTGAATACTTGAATTTGTCTTTTTACTTTGTATCTGTTGTCATAGAAATTTAAACCATGGGGATGTCCTATGGACCGGCCAAATAAATTAGATTTTTTATCATGACGTATCGTAAAGCACTTGGACTTACAATCCATTGTGTTGTGAGATATTAATAGACATCACAAATGAAGTGAAGTACTAGTCAATTGTTATTTAAATTGATGTAGAACATGCAAAATGCAATCATTTGTAGTTCAATAATCAGTTCATTTGTGATTGAGTGAGTTGTGAGCTTAGCTTGCTTGTGGAATGCAAATCGTGAATAACTTAAAACCGTAATCATTTCTCATTGTACCGTTCACTGTCCTTCAAAGAACCTTCAGTGTTCCTCATCCAAATTTCTCTTGTTTGGTAAACTAATGAATATGTTTTCCCGTACCAATATTTTTTCTAATTTTTCAAGACTGCAATCAGCAGACAATAAATTTGTTGGGTTGACTACGGTTTCATGTGGCAAGTAATTTTTCTACTATATCCTCGGACCTCGGTTACATGTATGTTTTGCTTATCATGTGATCCATGTATCAATGTTGGTTTAATTTGCCTTGTCTGCATTCTTAATGTTGTGTCTATGCATGTGGTGTTTACTCCTAATTATATACTTCTTCCCTCACGTATTAGAACTAGCACCTGCTCCTCTCCAATTATTTAGAATTTTGAATTGTGACCATTAGTTTTTTGTGATTGATTTGGATTTACATTTGTAATTTACTTTCTTACATTTATACATGTGGTTTGGTGAAAGTGTGATACATATAATGATGCCCTTCACTGGGAGGTGATCTTATGAAAGGACGAGACTTGTTAGCTCGGGTACTATGTTGAACTTCCTAAAGACCCTCTTTTGTGTTATTATACATTTCTTACATTTTTCTTCCTTTGTTTTTCATCCTCTTTTTTCCTAAATAATTGGTTGGAGATACAAAAACCGGAAATCTGGTGACTAGGTGAAGACTCGCCAACCTCCATCAAAGCTCTGTTTTCCTTGTTCGCCATTAGTTGATCAAGTCGCAATGCTAACTTTAAATGGTACTTGTACATAGCGCAATAAAATTGAAGAGAACCGAGCCTGGATTTTTTCACCAAGCAGACGAGAACTAATCATTTGTCTCAATGTTATGCCAATGCATGAAAAATCATCCAAAGAAGAAAATATTTCTACTCTTTCCGTATACAATCTCTTTAACGGGTACCGTCATGATGATACTAAGATTGAGCATTCTTCTGCAATTGTGTTCGAAAATAAATTTTATAAGCTGTTATCTTAAGCTCTATTTGCTACTCTTCCCTACGCAATAGACAATGACATTAATCAACTAACAACAAAGAGAATGACATTAATCAACTAACATTTTAGCATCCAAATGCTTCTAATAAGAATAAACATAGGCAATTGATAAAATGTGATTATTCTCATCACAAAATGCATGAATTCTAGCAGCAATTGAGAACTTATAAGACAATAAATATAGTATTGGATATATTGCACGACCATTTTGAATTCATCCTCCAGCAGAAATTCATATATATATGTAGAAAAGAAAAGAAAACACGTTTACGGCATTAGTTTTGAAATAATCGAAATAATAAAACCGATAAAAATACAAATGAAAAAAATACTATAAGATAAATCAAGAGTCCATTGGGTTGTATATTGAAGAATTTGGCCTAAATACATACTCTACATAATTAATGGTTGGGCCGAAAAGAGGGAAAAAAATAGAAAAACCAAAATCGCGGCCTTGGTGTTCGGTGAGTTCATTTGTCATCAGTTTACAAATTTCATCTCCCTATCTCAAACCAGCGTCACCTCTCAAAAAATTCTAATACATCATCAAATCTTAATAATAGGAATCACCCATCTCAAGGAAGTGAGCTCGCATAGAAAGTAGCAAATATCTGGATTCAGTTATATCTCGGGTTTTATCCATATTTTTGTTGGTTGGATTATTTGAAAACTTTCGATCGGATATTCCGGTTTGATGCGGTCAGTTTGGATGCACTGGGCCCCTAGCTTTTTAAGAAGTCAGACCGGCCTGCGGGTTCAGACCCGATTCGGCAGATCTAATTTAAATAAGAGAAAAATTGCATTTTCTAACCATACTGACTGACAGCTCCACATGGCTCGCAACCTGTTCGACACAAGGTCTCCATGAAATGCTGAACCAATTCTTCATACTCCGTAATCTCTTTCTCTCTCTCTCTCTCGCTCGCTTTGTTCTCATTTTGAGCTTTGTTGTTGTGTTTTCGCGAAAGGATCAAACAGATGTGGCGGTGCGTGGGTTCTCCGTCTTTGCTGGTTGCGTCCTCCAAATCGCACCACCTTAATCGAGTATGTTTCTGGTTTTGATTTTTCGGCTTACTTTCATACTTCCGATGAGATTTTTCACGGACGAATCGAGTGTTCTTCTCTCATCAGGTGCAAACAACCTGTGGATTTAACGCTTTGCAAATGTTCAGCACTCAAGTTCTGGATCAGGTATCAAGTCTATGTGTTCTTTTAATTTTTTTTTTCTTTTAATTGGAATCATAGTAAATTATGATAGGATTCTTAGTCTATATATCTTAATTCTTTCGCGGTAGTTCTCATGATCATTGTTATATGTAAAGAGTGTTGCCTTCTCCGGATTGATTTCTGGTGCTTTCAAATTTTGGAGGAAATGAACTCATAATCACTTTTTCTTTGTTATTTCCTTATGGGTTCCTCAATCAGATTAATATTAATTTGTTAAAATATTTATGTGTTATTAGCTTGATAACCTGCTATGCTGAAATGCTTTCAATTGTGATCTCCTTGCTTGTATTGTTAGCATATCCATCCACCGGTGTCGGGTTGTGGCCAACCCGGATCTGAGGCCTGGCTCCGGCTCGTTTGGGTTGGCCGTGCAACGGTACTCAAGGACTGGGGTCATGATGTAACACCCCGCTTATCAGAGTAACTTTTTCGCAACTTTTACTTCGAAAATACTTATAACTCTTTCGAAATCTTTTGCGAATAACTCGGGATGCTACTCAACCTTATCATCTTGAAAATCCATTTATCTTTAAACTTTGTCTAATACTTCTTTTAGACATAAAGAAACAGATTTCCTTTAAACTTGCATTTAAAATACCATAATCATATTTCTCATAATGGTAAAAACTTGAAATCTGAATTTCATTAAAATGCAAGTTCAATACTTAATGTGCATAGCGGAAATACTTGAAAACGTGGTTAATTATACAGACTGTTATAAATGTCCTTATCAAAGCTTGTCTTCATCTGAGTCCACGATCCACACCAACACTGCTCCACTCACACCTCCTCTTCAACCTGTTACCTGAAACTAAAACTCATGGGGGTGAGTAACGAATATGGATAATCATAAACCGATATCTGATCGGTAACTTAAACTTTTCTCTTCTCTTGCTGATAATTAATCGGATACGTGTGCACACTCTGATGGATATTTCTAAGGCAACTCAAGCGGCCTCCATCAGAACTTAGGATATAATCTCTGAGAACAAATTATTGCCTCCTCATCCTCAGCGTAAAACTTAAACTGTAGGATATACTCTGAGACAACTGATGGTCTCTTCATCCCATATGACATCAATATCGTACTCAACGTGATACCCATTCAGGGTCCCCACCTTTTGTCTTTGAAAGCATTTGAAAAATGATAAATGCTGTACTGGGGATTTGTATCTGCAAATTACATAAAATATACACAAATATACTAAGTATTATGCTCATATACTCAATAAGATACTAGGATTCTTAATTTATCCATATCTTATAAAAATTCAATAAACATGCTATTACTCAAGTTAATACTTAATTTAACTTTTCTTGAACTTATACTCAAGGTCTATTATAAATCATGTCTTTAAAATCATAAATATTAACTTATACTCGCATGTCACTTAAATAACTCGAGTGTGAAAATAACTAAATTTCACATTATACTTGATTGAGTACTTAAACTCAAAACATGCTTATCTTTTACCAACATCATATTCATGATTTATAAAACTTTATAGACTATTAAACTTATCTTAAACTTACTTGGTACTAAAATCTCAACTTAATACTCAACAATTCAACTTTTAATCATAATATTAAATTATAATCTTAAATTGAGAGATTTAAAACAATCTTATAAAATTGTATACTCAACATATTAAACTAAAATTTTATCAAATTGTTTATCACTCATATGAGAATTATTCATAATAATCTCACCTTAAAACTTGAACATATAATGAATATTCTTGCATATATACTCATCTTTACATATATGCCATCTTATTATCTTAACTCTTTCATTTCTCATATTTAAATTATGAAATTTAACAGTCATATTCTTAACTCATAATTAGACATGTCATAAAAATTTCATAATTTTATCATGCATATACATCAAGTTATTAGAATCTTAACTTCACAACTTAAATAGTGAACATAAAATTCAGCATACATGTTCATCTTCAAAAATTCATAACTTAAGCTATACTTTGCCAAATAACTTAATTCTTGTTCTCATGAACTCCTCTTTTACACAAAAATTTCTCATGTAAATCCTACTTTTCCAGCTTATTCTTTTCTTTATCAAAATCTCATTCAAATCAAGCACATATATCATATAAGTGATCTTGAACAGCTTTAACTCTTTTTATTCATATGATCAATTATAAACTCAACTTCTAATTATGATATACATACCTATAAACATGTAAAATTATCTTCAGAACATGAACTTAAGCATATAACTTTAAGTAAATTACCTCCTTCTTGCTAGAATAAAAACTTGATTCTTCACTTCAAATTCTTCACTCCACCAAAATTTCTACTACTTATTCTCTCTTATACACTTATATAACTTTTGAAACTTTTCTTTGGTGTAAAAACTCTGAGTTTTAGGCCTCTATTTATAGGCAAAATTTGCAAGACATCATAATTGAGTGAAGAAATTAACAAAATAAACAATACAAACTTGTAAAAATAAATATAGATAATAAATAGTATTCTTAACTTGTAAACTTCTCCAACCCATAGTCAATGCATAGAAAGGCCCCTCTTCTGATCCTAATCTGATCTCAATGATTAAATTCGAGATTTAGTGAAAATTCTCCAATTTACGGAACCAAATTCTGACTTAAAACGAACAGTTACCGTAAAATCGAAAATTCTTCCAAATTTTCGAATTTCCTTCTTTTCTTTTGGCATTTTTCCTTTTTATGCTGAAAAATTTTTCTTATCTTGTAGTCTACTAAAAATATAGAGAGAAAATAATTTAATTTATTTCTCAGAACTGAAATCGGACATATATTACGACTACAATCGAAAACCGAAAAAAAAACGAAAATTCTAAAAATTCATATTTCTCTCTAATAATTTAAATAGACTAAAATGTCTAAATAATTTTTCTCACTTCTTTGAACATTTATAACTTAAATGTTCATGGATACTTAACCGAACTCGAGACCTAACTTGTCTCGACTCATTATTCTTTTTCTTTCTCATTCAAACTAGAAATGGCCAAATTTACATCCATTTAGCTAAATAAAATGGAATGTTACTTGAACTTGAATATCATCTTAAATAACTTATTTCACTTCAATAAACATTAATGTCTAATTAATCCTTATAACTTGATCAATACTCAAAACTAAGCTAGGCTCGAGAATCATTTGCTAGGTAATAATCTTAACTCGTAACCGAACATGCTTGGTTCGGTTCACAACTTATCTTGAACGAGTAATCAAATATACTCGATTTTTATTATTCGTCATCTTATTATAATTAATCCCATCTTATAAATTCATTTATAAAAATAAACAGACCGGAATTAATTAATTATTGAACTGGCTCGATTACTAAATAAAATTTAACCGAGAATACTTTCAACTTAAAGTCGAACTTTTAACTGAATAACTTAATAACTGGGCTCGAAAGTAGGAACGAGCATTATTAATAAAAGTAATTAGTTCAAACTTAGAACTAAAATAATTACTTTTATTAATTACTGAATGGGATATTACACATGAAGTCTTATCTCGATGAGGTGGTGGCGCCCGATGGGTGGTCCGCTTAGGGCGACTTGGATTTTGCCCTAACCAGTTTGTATTATGGGGAGTATAGGAATTTCGGGACGGGGGCAGACACGAGGGGTCGGGTTAGCTGGCCCGGCTACCGTGGGAATATGAGCGCGGAGGAGGCGGCCGGGTTCTCGGTGGCGGGACTTATTGCGGGCCAGGAATGGCTGCCGAAGACAGGCGTGCCTTTCACTGCCGGGCTGTGAGAGCTTGGAATTACTATAAGTACTCAATTGTGGGCCACCGGCTGTGTTATTCTTTTGTTGATTTGGTCATCATGTACATATTATATTGTGTGTGATATGATTAATTATTTAGGTTATTACCGTTTGTATAGTAGAAGATTACACAATACTATAACAATTTGTAATTAATTCATACTCCTAATTTACAAATGAAGTGTTCAGCTACAATTCAAATTAACTATAAATTAGTTATAAAAATAGTTATATAGTAGTAAATGGTATAAATAGGCACACCGGCTTAGTAGATATTGTCTAGCATTAAGGCTGTGCATATTAGGTCATATATACAAATCGACTATAATATTACAGAACGTTTAAATCTTTTGTTTCACAATTACACCTACTATGTTATTTTTTTTTCCAAAACGATTAATAAGATAAAACTCCAAACAAATAGCGTTTTACAACCGATCGATCAACTGACCAACAAGGGCACCAGCCAAACAAAATGTACAAAGCAGAAGCCCCCAGGGGAAGCAACAAGTGCAACCCAAGCCGCAAGAACAGACAACAACTAAACAAAAAGGAAAAACCAAGTCAAAGGAACAAAAACCTAAAAACCTACACAGCAACACAAAAACCAGAAAAATTAACTAACATCAAACACAAAGGAACAAGACAAAGAGCTAGAGATGAAGTGATAGATAGCCTCCAATTGATCTGCCATGGATGAGCAGAAAACCTGTTTCTCGTTAAGAAGTGAAACCAAAGAACCATCTTTGAGGTAGCATTTGAGTTCCGACCAGTTGTTTGCAGCTGCCAACTCTAGGCTCCATCTCACAGCTTGAATAGTAGCTTCAACCTCATCATGAGCATCCAGAATAGGTTTCCTCCACACCTGTCTTTCCTTCTCATTCTCTGCTCTACAGACAGCTTCAAAGCCTCCTCTCATAGACCTTAAGGCACTGACAAAGAGACTCTTTTGTCCTACCTTCTTGGAAAATTGGTTTGTGAGAGTTGGAGTTGAAGTCAGTTTGAAAAGGACCAGCTGCTCTCCACCCTCAGCAATGTTTTGAAGAGCCAGCCAATCCGAGTAAGTTTTTTCAATGATTTCTTTCTCCTGTCTGAAGTTACTATTCCACACCAAATCATTCCTACTCTTCCACAGATTCCAAATAAGAATAGCAGATATGCACATCCTCTCAGTCCTGCATTGGTTTTCATGAATACTGCAGAGCTCCATCCACCATCTCTGGAAGTTGGCACACCCATGCTCCAGAGAGTTCCAATGCAGACCTGAAATTTCCCAACACCTGGCAGCTCTTGGGCAATAGAAAAGGATATGAGATAGGTTTTCAACAGCATCCCCACAAAATTGACAGTTAGGGTCAGAAATGACACCCCTCGCTGCAAGGTTTTCATTAGTACTGATGAAATTATTCCAGCATCTCCAAAGAAAGTTTTTAACTCTGCCTGATATGGGGAGATGCCAGGATAATTTCCATATTTTTTGAAGAGATGTAGGATAGCCACTGCAGCCGGGAGATGATGAACTAAGTTTGTCCCTGTTGAGGATCATTTTATACACTTCTTTGACTGAAAAAATGCCTTTTCTGCTCCAATGCCAAATAAGCTTATCCCTGCCACCATTGGGATGAAGAGGAATTTTCAAAATAGTCTCAGCATCTAGAGGAGTGAAAGTCTGAAGGATTAAATCTCTGTCCCAAGACATAGAAGATTGACAGATGAGATCTTTGACTCTACTAATCCTCCCCCTATCAAAAAGAAAAGGACAACTAGGTTTAAAAGAAGAATTATTAGGCAGCCAGGGGGATTCCCATATCAAAATATCATGCCCATTCCCAACCTGGTACCTAGCACCTAACTCTAAAAATTTCCTAGCACCCATCCAACTTCTCCAGAGCCAAGAGTCACTCCCTCTAACCTTAACCTCACTCAGCCTTTGAGATCTAAAATATTTACCCTTAAGCACCCTACTAACAAGGAGATTGGGTTTGGTTATAAGTCTCCAAAGTTGTTTAACAAGCAGGGATTCATTAAAAGCTTTCAAGTCCCTAAATCCCATCCCTCCCAAGTCTTTAGGTTGGACTAACTTATCCCAACTATCCCAGTGAACCCTACTAGCCCCATTCTCCTTTAACCCCCACCAGAAATTGGAAATGTCCCTGCAAGTAATATTCAAAATGCCCACAGGGACCCTGAAACAAGAGAAAACATAAGTAGGTAAAGCAGATAGCACAGATTTAATCAAGATTTCCCTCCCTGTCTCACTTAAAAATTTATTCTTCCAACTATTCAGTCTTTTTATCACACAGTCACTCACAAAAGAAAACACCTCTTTTTTTTTCCTGCCAATACCTAGGGGGAGACCTAGGTATTTGGTTGCTCTCACTCTAGAAATCCCAGAAAACACCTGGCAGATATCAGCAATGGTTTCCTCAGAAGTATTATAAGAAAAGAAAATAGAGGATTTGTCAATATTAACCTTCTGACCAGAATCATTACCATAGTCTGAAAGAATTTTGAGGATCAAAGAAGCATGGTAAAAATTAGCTTTACAGAATAAGATGGTGTCATCAGCAAAGAATAGGTGAGTGACAGAAGGAGCAAATTTGCCAATTTTAATGCCAATGAAGTTGGAATGAACTGCAGCCTGAGAGACAAGGTTAGAAAAAGCTTCAGACACCAAAATGAATAGATATGGAGACAAGGGATCTCCCTGCCTCAAGCCCCTAGAAGGCTTCAAATAACCCAAACATTCACCATTAATATTGAAGGAAAAAGCAGAAGAACAAATGCAAGCTAACACCCAGGAAATGAACAAGGAACAAAAACCCATCCTATTTAAAATCCTAGCCACAAAGTCCCATTCAACCCTGTCAAATGCCTTGGCCATGTCAAGTTTAATGGCCATAAAGCAGTCTTTACCTTTCCTTTTAGAATTTAGGTAGTGAATGCATTCATTAGCCACAATGACATTGTCCAGGATTTGCCTACCTGGGACAAAAGCAGATTGAGAAGGGGATATACAAGAAGACAAGACAGATTTAATTCTATTAGCAATGATTTTGGAAATGAGCTTGTAAATGACATTACATAAACTAATAGGTCTAAAATCAGAAACAGAGGAGGGGTTCAGTTTTTTAGGGATAAGGGATATAACAGCATGATTTAAGCCCTTTGGCATTCTTCCAGAAAAGAAAAAATTTCTTACCCCCATGATGATTTAATCTTTAAGAATAGGCCAAGAGGATTGAAAGAAGGCTGCTGTGAGTCCATCCATTCCAGGTGCACTATTAGGTTCCATAGCCATAAGAGTCTCTTTAATCTCTTCTTCACTGACCTCTTTAACTAGAGCTTCGTTCATCTCAGAAGTAATTGAAACTGGAATCCCCTCTAAACTGCATTGATGATTCTGAGAGGCTGAAGATCTGAAGAGACTTTCAAAATAAGCCATAATTTCATAGAGAGTGTCTTGAGAAGACTCACAAACCGACCCATCAGACTTAAGAAGACTATCTAAGGAGTTAACCTTTCTTCTGTTCTGGACACTAGCATGGAAGAATGAGGAGTTTTTATCTCCCTCCTTAAGCCAACTTATTCTGGATTTCTGGCACCAGTACATTTCCTCATTTTTGTAAGCAAGGTTAAGATCAGAAGTCAATTTCTGCCATAAGGACCAGTCTCTGTCTCCTCCAAGAGTTGCCAAGTGGTTAAGCTCTTCCTTGCATTTCTCAATTTCCTTCAGGGAGTTTGTTTTTAGAGAGGCTTTCCAATGTAACAATGCTTTTCTCACATTTTTGATTCTCTCTTTAATACTGTATATGCCCGACCCTGATATAGGAGTATTCCAAGCAGTATCAACAGTTTTGGAAAACCCAGAAGATTAACCCATCTTTTGTCAGAAAACCTGTGCTTGTGAGAGTCAAAGGTGCCAAGAGTATTCAAAAGTATCATTCTGTGGTCAGAGGATGTTGCATGAATGTGCTTAACTTGGCCATGATTAAAATGTAATTGCCAGGCAGGAGAAAGCAAAAACCTATCAAGCCTTTCTTCAATAAAGTCATTGCCCTGTCTATTGTTAGCCCAAGTAAAAGGATGACCCACAAACTTGCTGTCCACAGCCCCAAGACCAGAAATGAAATTATGAAAACTAGAAAAACTATGCACCTCTCTAACAATCCCACCCCTATTCTCATCATTGGAAAGGATGTCATTTAAATCCCCACCCAAACACCACATCTCCCCCCAAGTAAGACTATGTCTAAGCAAAAGCTCCCATTGCAACTCCCTAACTGAAGCATTAGTACTAGCATAAACAAATATGACCCAAAATTTAGACCCCCCTTCCAGAAGACAAAATTGAATCTGAACACAGAAATCAAAAGAGATAATTTGCAAAATAATGATTCTAGAAGACCAGGACACTAAAATCCCCCCTCTGGAATTAATAGGATTCACATACATCCATCTATCATCAAATTTAAGCTTTTTACAAACAGAAGAAATAAATTTTGGTTTTTTCTTAGTGTCAAGAAGACAAGCAAAATCGGGAAGGTGAGCTCTTAGAGCCTCTTTGAATTGGGAAATTGTAGAGGGTCCTCCCAAACCTCTACAATTCCACACAAAAATCTTCATTTAAACTTTTGGGACCAATCAAGGCTGGTTTCCTCCACCTTATCAAAAGAGAGATTAACAGAAATTTTTTGTTTTTTCTTATCAGATTCAGAAGTATTAGGACATGTAGAAACATCCAAAGATTCCATACCTCTTTTTTTTAAAGAACAAGCAGACTCCAAGGTATTAGACATTGGTTTCTCAGAGTCAATGGCCATGGCCATATCATCCTCTATAACCACTCCTTTATTTTTAGCAGATTTCCTAGACAAGGGTTTTTTCCTTCTCTGGGCAATCCTACTGCCAATAGAGGATGGTAGAATATTAACCTCCACATGATTGGAATCAAGAGGTTGAGTATCCTCAATAGCATGGACAGCTATTCTATTTTCCTCTACAGGACATTTCTCAACAGCTCCTATGACTCCACTACCCTCCCCCTCATTAAGCACAACTAATTGTCTATTCTCAGAACAGTTCTTAGCCCCTGAAGAACCTGCTTTATGACTCTCCTCTCCCACATTGGATTTATGAAATCCATCAGAATGATTGTTCTCCCTATCTTGACCACTCTCAAAACTACCCGAATCATAAGCATCAGAAGATTTAGGGCTAAAGGAAGTGAAGTTATAAGAGGCTCTAATCCATTCCCCATACTGGCCAATGTTAAGCACATTCATATGCACATCATCTTGTTTAGTTAGGCAATTTTTTTCAGAATGGCCAACTTTACCACAGTAATAACATAACCCTTGAATATTCTCGTACCTGAAATCAATCCATCTGTTTTCTTCTCCCACTTTAATGAATGTCCCTCTTGGAATTGGGTCAGCCAACTTAAGCTGAACAAACACCTTCAATATCTGACCATGGCTATTTCCTGGGATTGGCAGAAGCACATCAATGACTGTTCCTATTTTCTTCCCAATTTTCAGACCAGCCTCAGCCGAGATCCAATGTAATGGCAGATTCAGAAATTGAACCCAGATTTTAATTTTTCGTCTTCCTCTGAGAATTCCAGATTTGAAGGGTCCCAGTGTTTCAACAAGAGATATTGCCCATCAAAAGACCACGTCTTGCCTCTCAATATTTTTTCTTTGTCCTCTTCGGTTTGGAAGATAAATTGGAATTTGTTAGCTCCAAGGTTTCGAATTGAGAATGGTTTTTGAGTAAACCATATTCCTGATAGAGTAGAGTTCAAACCATTGAAATTGATTCGCTTCTCCCCAAAACTCTTTCCGATTAGACTTAATTTGCATTCCTGAATCCCTGATGCGATATCCAAAGAAGAAAGCTCCACTTCCTCCACTTCTTTCTCAGACAGTTTGATTTTGAGCATTCGATCTGAAATTTCCTGCTCCATTTACTCTTTCGGCTATGGATCCACTAAAAGCACCCTGGCAAATGAAAAGACTCCAGCAGAGATGATACCAAAAACACAGCCCTAGAAAAGATAAGACAAGAACGACAAAGGTTAGCAGAAAGGGAAATTAGGGATCAAAGATAAAGAAGAATAACACTGAAGATCGAAGAAAGACATTGGAAGAATCCAAGAGGAAACCCTAAGCCAACAATCCAACAAGTGGAACTAGAACTCTAGAGAGAGAAAAAATCCAACAAGTGGAACTTATGAACTCAACTGAATATTTTACACCTACTATGTTAGGACGAGCCTAATTTATTCACCGTTGAACGGTCTCGTGTAGAAGCAATGTGGGACATTTTATTCACAACATTAAATTTGCTACGAAATATATATCGTTGCTAAATCTAGCTAGCTATTGCACAAAGAAAGTTGTAGCAATCTAAAAGTTACTAAATTTCGTATATAGTTGCTGAAAATTCTAGCAAATAACCTTGGAATTTTTTTGTAGTCAACATTGTTTAAATAAATGAATTGTAATAGAAAAAGGAAATGATATGTCCGATTATGTGAAACTGAAATATATACTCTCCTTTTATTTTTTTATTTTTTTTTAAACTTAAAGTTCAACTAAATAATTAGATGGAGGTTTTCTATTTCTTGATTGAATATATGCACGTACGTCTTTTCTCATTTCTTTACAACAAATGGCGCTTACTTGAACGCGTTTCGCCGCCAATTAAATTTATTTTTAATTTATAAAAAGTCAAGGCATCCATAAAAATTAAAAATAATTTTAGTTGTAACTTCTTGAGTTTCTCCTATGAATGAATTTAATCATTTATTAGCATATAGATCAATATGTTATATATGTCGAATATCCCCTGTTTTATATATTACTATATCATATCGATGGGTAGGTACTATTGATGACTTGTGTTGATTAGATCACTAATTTGTGCATGCTTGTTTCATGCCACCCATAACTAATGAACGAACATCAAGCAAATTCCATTACGTGTAGATTGTTTTTATACAATCATGTATAATTGTCTGATGGGGCAAAATCGTTCTATAATATGAAATGTTATTATTTATTTATATTACTGGAAAAAAAAATATAATTGTCTAACCGATTGATACGTGTAACAATATTCGCACTGTTTTAATAATGTTTTTGGATCAAATTAACAAGATTGATAGTTGTATATGAGATGTTAATAGTGCTGATTTTATCATTGAATAATTTCAGTTAAACATATATTTTTTTGATTAACATGCAATTTTTATTCATATATTATTTTACATTATACAGATAAGTTTTAGTATAGAAGTTTGGTGGCATGTGACCATTCTAGAGTGGTGACTCAGAGGCATAGCCAGAATAAATATTCAATAAGAGCTGCAAATATGAAGTTGTTATTTGAACCAAGATATCTTTTTACATAGTTTGATTTGACTCGTAAAAGTTAGAGTTTAACATTACTTGCATATTGTTTTGTAGTATTTTGTGGGTAGTTGGTAACCGAGCTATCCGATCTCGTGTCATTCTCAAAAGAAAACAGTTCGGAGCTTCGTTCACCACTCAATTGTCCAAATCACACAAAATGAGAAAATAAAAGCTAAACATGCTAATCAATGGGTTGGAGAGTGAATTAATGCTAATCGATGCTCGGAATTGAAAGCAACAAGTGAACTAGAGAATAAGACAATTAACACTACCGGAGTCTCTATGCCATCAACATCAAACAAAATCAACGATGAGAAGTATGCAAGTTCTAACACTAGGTCACTAACCCTAACCTTCTAACCTAAGCGATTAAGTTCTAAATAGAGTCCTAACCATTAATCTAGATAGACAAGTAATTAGTCCCTACTAAAACAAGCAATAGCAATGATAAAGTCCAAACATTCCCTCCATCATCAAGCAAACACCCAAATTCACCTTGAAATTTTTCATAAGTAAAAACGAGGCAAAAATCGAAGTAAAGAACTTTAAAAGTAAATACCCAATCTTTTATTGCATGCTAGATGAAAACCAGAGTCAAAAGCTCGGAACTTGAACAAAATAAAAGTCACCGGAAAATGATGTCATATAGCTCCCAAGAGAGAGAAGAGAGAAAACTAAAAAAAAAAACTTAATTTCTAAAGTGGTAAAGTGAGAAATGAAATCTAGATTGCCAAAATACAAAGGACCAAAATGTATTTATAGTCTAGCTCAAAAACACACATTGGATTCATGCACATTAAATGAAACACTCCCGAGCTCGCCGGGAAATCCGCAGGTCGCGTGCACGGGTGGCACGGAAGTGGCACGAGGTCGGAGCGAGAAATGAAGACACTCTCGATGTCGCAGTCAGATTTGCGGGCGTGGGCGTGAGGGGCAGCGACACTCCCGACGTCTCGGTTCTTTTCGCGTGCACGGACGGGCGACTGGAAACTCACTCTCGATGTCGCGGATGTGGCCGAGGGCGCGGGCGCGGGGAAATCGGCACTCGCGAGGTCGCAGGGCAGCTCGCACGCGCGGGCGTGGAGGAATCGACACTCGCGAGGTCGCGGTGCCTCCCGCATGGTCGCGAGTGTTCCAGTGCTAGGCTAAGGTCCTTCGTGAGGCGCGGATTTCGGTGCGAGGTCGCGAGTATGGCCCACTTTGGAACTTGATCAACAAGGCTCGAAATACTTGGGATGGAAACAATTCGTACGACATGGCTCGAAACTTCTCGGCAATGACTCAGAATTCATTTAAAAAGGCTCGTCTCTCGAGACTCGATTCGACTCTTCTCTTCATCCTCGGAATAAACTTGAAAATACACCCAAGAGCACGGAAAAGTACGCCAAAATATAAAATAAAATGAAAGGAATAGAAACACACGAAATACAATAAAATGGACCGGTCCACACTAAAACACTCCTAAAAAGACTCGACTAAGGCACATAAAACACACGAAAACAAGCACAAAAACACAATAAACAACTCCCCCACACTTAGCTCTTTGCTTGTCCTCAAGCAAACAAAATAATAAGTTGCTCGAAAAGAAACATCAAATGGTCCAAGGTTAACAATCATGCGAAAATGAGACTCTCCTTATCATCCGATAAACCAAAGAATCGAACTCAAGTTCTAAAACATGTTCCCCACAAAATGAATCCATACAAAACAAAAACCCGTCCCAAGTCATACTACACATGATTTTCTCGATCAAAGCCTCCTTTTTCTATAAACACGTGCAAAAAGCCAAATGTGGTCTACTAAACATGTAAAATACAATAAGCACGAACCAATAAACCAACTCTCATTCTATTGTTTATTTGCTTTGCTTTTTCTTCTTTTTCCAAACGATGTTTCGTAAATAATGCTTATCTAGGTTTACCCTCGAGGGGTCTCCTTGAGTTCCTAGACCGATTTCCCGGGCTCATTATCCCATACCACGAGGTGGCTCGGGATAAGAGGAGCCTAGTCCGTACCTCCTCGCGAACTCACAATTTTTTTTTTTTCGAAGGGAGTGACACATAAACACATAGTTGATCGAGATGCACTATACATGAATAGCATAACACGTTCACAATGATATCGAGCATAAGGTAAACAATTATGTGAATTTATATGCGGGTCCCACGTTTAACAAACTATCATCCAATTCAAGGGTACCATCCAAATCATTAAGTTCATAAAGCACGAAAGTTAACAATGACGCCAATCAACATACTTATCTCACCACTTAACCATTTTGTGCCCTTAAACTCACATCAAGCAACATGAAGGGGGAATCGCTTCAAACACATAAAAACTCAAACAAAACCGATCCAAAACGCGAAAATAAAGCACAAAAAATGATAGAAATACCGCCTACACATGCATAATCACGAAGTCCCTCCCCCACACTTAAAACAAAGCAATGTTCTCATTGCTTGACCGAAAAGCATAGGCTAGAACATATAATCACACAAGTGCATGCGAGAAACGAGACGGAACGAAAGAAACAAACAAACAAAAGAAAGAAAACATAAAGACACATAAGAAACAACTAAGAGAAAGAGGAAAATAAGAAAAGAAAATGTGTACTCTACACGGTGGTGCACCGCCGTGTGTCCAAATGTGTTCGTCCGGTAGGAATAGAGAAGATGAGCCGAAAGTCCTCGAGCGATAATCGAAACCATCTGAACAGTTGGACATTTAGCACACCGAACGATATAAGCAAAGGCCACATGTAGGCGTCTCGGAGTGATGATAACCGTGAATCCATAAACTCAACGAAGACACACATAAGCATGAAAGTTCAAAAATCGGGCCGCGAGGCCGTCAATGACATAAGCAACTCCTCGTTGGTTCAACGCATGAAAAAATTTTCGGCACTAGTTGTATGTAGTAACCTACAAACTCCAAAATCCGGCAATAAAAACACAAAAATTGGCACGCCCGGCAAGACGTGCCTAACATGCACAAGTCCAACTCCAATCACCCACCACGACTACTCTGGCAAGAGTAATGACCAAAACTCGACACAAATGAACATGTAAAGATAGATAATGCCAACATACCTTGAAAATGGTCGCCAGAATTTCGTAAATAGGGATAGATGAAGTAGGGAGCTCCAGTCACCGAAAAATAGACCAAGCATGAAGGAATGATGGTAAGGAACATGAAAAAGAGTGCTCATTTGCCGGAAAAAATGGTCACCGAAAAAGTTTTCCGAATCCGGCGACGGTGGCCAGAAAAAGGTGCGGCCCGGCGAGAGGAGTCTGGGAGTGCCTTCGGATTTTGATAACTCCAAGTGAGTCACCAGCAATTTGGATTTGAAGGTTGAAGTACATTTGTAAATCTAGAGCTTTTGGCCGGAAATCGAAAGCCTTCCTGTCGGAATTTTTGCTTGAGACTCGGATATGTTGTCGACGGCGAGGAGAGCTTCGCGTTGATATAAAATTCATCACAATCAGAGAAAGTTAGCCGGAAAAAGGTGGTGGCCGGCGGCGGCGCACGGTGGCGCGCGGTGGCTGGTGGTCGGGCCTTGGTCGGGCTGGATGTGCTGGGCACTCGGGACTCGGGCGGGCTGACGCAAGGCTGGACCGGGCTAGGCGCACGTTGGCTGGGCTCGCGACTCGCAGGGATATTCGCCGCGCGGAAGTTGTGCTGCAGAAGTATTGGCACAAGATCGCCGTGCCTCGCGGACGCTGACGCGAGGTCATGAGCGCCAATCCGCGAGCGCGGGTGATTACGCCGCGCGGAACTAACGCTGCAGAAGGTGGAGGCGTGCACTCGCGGGGATCGTCGCGATCGCGAGTACCCAGGCGCGAGGCGTAGATGTGCCGGCGTGCGCAAGATTGCTTCCATACTTAGCCGTATTTCGATTCTTTTCGCCCCAATTTATCGACTAAGCCCACGAACACTCTACTAGCTCGAATTGCAATCTTTTTTTTTTAATATATATAAAAAGAAAAGAAAAGAAATGAAAAGAATGAAAACAAAAAGAAAGAATAAAAGGAAAAGGAAAAAACGTGGGTTGCTTCCCACGAAGCGCTC